TTGCTGGGAAAACAATGCGCAGTTTTTGGATGTATGCAAAATTATTGAGAAAAAAAATCACAAAATGATATTTAAACTTTTTAAGGAGTGGTAATTTCCCTGCATTCAAATTTCGTGCCACGAAAAATTCTGGAGTACGTCAAGCGGAAGTCCAGAAGGTGGTGCATGGCTATATCCTCATGCACCGCCTCCTCATTTACTGCATATTTCGTTCATATGTCCAGTAAAAATATACAAACTACCAGAGGATGTATATAGGATGATTTTTTTTCTGCCTGAGGTCCCCCATGAAAGGATGTTGACACTACCAATAGGTCAGTGGGGCGCAATCATGAAATCAAGGATGTGTCCATATTACCCCATATTGGTTTGCATGACAATATTGACAACGCTGCCCGCAAACCGCAAGTGAAGGGGCAAGCACTTTCCTCAAACATTCTGGAGGGACCTTTGTACAAATGGTTTCTGTATCCATGCGGCTTTTAAGAAATATACACTTAAGTTGCCCAAGGCCCATTTTAGTTTCAGGGCCATGAGTTGAAGAATCACATGCATATGACTTTCCAAACATCGATGTATCCCGAATTCCTGTGAGAACTAGATTAATGAACATGTCTAAACATTTCCATGATTGCATTTATTCTTCGATGACACTATTTTTTAAATTCGCCCAAACTAATTATTCAGTCTGTTAGGGGATTCATTGTGAAGGGCCATATTACCCCAATGGCCAAATTCCCCCAAGTTACCCTATGCAAATTGGAAACAGGCGCAGGGAGCAGTCGCCATCGAGGCTCCAGTGCAAGAAGGTCAATACCTTCCCTCATCACAATATTCAGTGAGTATTCGACTCCTACCCGTTACGTTTTTTATGTTGTCGTGCACCCTCAAGCACCCTGCTCTGCTTTTCCTGCTTTCTGAGGCGGTTTGGTGCCGTCTTCGTTACTGGGGCGCTACAGACACGATCCTCCAAGAAGCATCCTCTTCCACGGATTCAAATAATTCATGATTAAATTAGACACATTGCATTTGAATTGGTCTTGTCCGAAATGCTTTTATCATCATGCATTTCTCGCCTGGTGCGTATTCAAGGTTGGATTTTCCACTCCGTCTTGTTTTTATTATTTAAATATTTATTTAAACTTTTACCTGGAGTTTCCATAGGTACTATGGGGAAATGCCAGATATTGCGGTCGGTTTGTCACTTTTTTATTTTTATTTATTTTTTTCATTCCGTCTGTCCGCAGAAACCATAGCGACTGGACAACACGACCCAATGCGCACGCGCAGCATTCCACCTGGGTCGGGGTGTCCGTCTTCCACGAAAACATCCACTTCCCTTCCAGCCCTGGCGGTTGACGGATCCATAGTAAACAATGGAGGAGAGCGGCTCCTCCCGGCCGCGTTGACAGGGTTGCTAGGCACACTCGTGAATTGCCGTATCCAGCATCCTACACTTCATACTGTCCTCCCATCTCCACGCGACGCGAATGCGCGGACCATCGAGAACATGTCTAGTTGTCCGGGCCTTTTCATATAGGCCTACGTCGAACCAATGACAGCCATTATTTATTTCAAGGTTGGATGGTTAGGATGCGGTGAATATATATAGTAAATCCAGTGGTACAGGGGTAAGTGGAATGCCAGATCTTTACCTGGGTTGGTACTCTCAAGATTAAATTTTTAATAAATTAAATATAATAAATATAATAAATTAAATTAAATTTCTTTATTTCTTTTTCTTTTTCTTTTTCTTTAGCAATTTTATTTGTTTTTTTATATTTTATTTTTTTTACTTGTTTTTATACATTTTCCTTTTTCTTTAAATTTTTTCCTTTTATGTTAATTTTTCCCTTAAATTTATTTTTATATCTAAAATTTATTTTTAAAACGTATTTATTTCATTTATTATTTAATTCATAATTTTAGAATTTATTATTATTTATTATTTAATTCTTTATTAACTTTTTTTTAAATTACATATATTTTTTATATTTACATATTTTTAATTTTTATATTTTTTACGGTTATCATCCGCGAAGCAATCATTCGAGGACTTCGCTTCCACTCATGCCAGAAATTAAAGTGAATTCGATTTTTGGAACAAGGATGAACTGTAATTGCGTCCGGAAAGCACCGTAACAGGTAATTTCATGGGAAGTAGAGGTCTTCCTTCCACCTTCCTTCCGCTCTCCCCCTGCCTTCCCCCCACCTTCTTCACAACCTGTGCTACATCCAAGAGTTTTAAAATAATATTATTCAATGTCACCCTCTTCAATTCTTCTGATTTCTGGGGGAATAATCTCTATATTTTTGGAGTCGTTGTGAATTTTCGTAAAATTTTCTGTCCTCTAGGATTAGCTGAATTTTTAAAAGTTAATTTTAATTTTAATTTTATTTCTTATTTCTTTGTGGATGGTGATGAGCATTTTGCCAAGGGTTGGGTTCCTTGAAAGACTCGTCCGGAAAGATTACGAAAAGTCACTTCGATCACGGTCTCATTTGAAAGAACCAAGAATATTCTAAATTTGGTTTGATGCATGCCAACAATGAAAATGGTCTGAAAATTGATCATAATTGGTGAAGATTGGCACTTTTTCATCAGCTACTGTCATAACTTATTTAGTTAGGTTATACCACATGATTTCCTATTGGTACGGTGCTTGCCACCTCACCGTGGGAAGTCAATACGATTTATGGGACAAACGAGGAATTACACTTCGAAAATTGCTATTAAAAAAAATGAAAATGGCATGCTGCCATTTCTGTTCTCCCCAATTCCGTTGTCATAAAAAAATCTAATGATTATTGTGATTATCCTTTCCATGCTCTCTCAATTGCTTCTGACTCGAACTAAATGGCGCTGAACTCATTTTCAGCTAGATTTTCCTTCGTAAATCTCACAGTTAAGATAAAACGTTACGGTGTAAGCTAATCATTTCTTTTCATCAAATAAAAAAGAAATTCCTCAGGCACAATTTAAAATTCTCTTTGTTCTGCAGTTCGTTTCTGCAGTTGCCAATGTAAACAATATCAATATCAATATATCAGCAGGAAAAAAGAAGATCAATGTTTTACATTATTTATCTTTTATAAAACTTCTCATAAACGCTTTCATTTTAATTTATGATCTTAATCACTCTAAGAACCTAAATATAGTGAAAGTTTTTTGTTTTTTTTTTTATCAAGAAAGGGGGGGGGGAGGGAAGCGAGTCGCGTAAAACACAATTAACACATCTGGTTAGCATGCCAGTCGTGCAATATAATGGACACATCTGAATACAATGGCAATTTGAAGGGATCTGATTAATTTAATCATTTATAATTTTAAGTCAAGGTATGGCACGAAGTTCAAATAAGAAGCACTTGAAAGATCATGGAAAGGTCATCGGGATTTTTTTTATTTATTCCAGACAATCGGATCAGGAAAACCGGAGAAATGACATGCAAAAAAAAATTCATTGTCAGACAGCCTATTTTCGTTGTTAGTGTCACTGCTTTTCGGAAATATAGTCATGTTCAGATATTCCGTCTACTTTAGACAAAACAAGTCCCGTCGTAACATAAAAAAAATCCATGCGCATATTAAAATATAAAAAAAATTCACAGCGACTCATATTACGAGTACCAATTACCAAAATAATGAGACTCGGAGTCGGTTGCCAGATTATTTTTCCTTTTTACCAATAGGGGAATTGGGATGGGACGGATCCTTGGGGGGAGTCATCGCGAGTTACCCTTATATTGCCTTACTAATATAATCCTCTCGACACAATCCTCTCAAGTATTGTCTTTTGTTTCTATTAAAATAAATATGAGGGAAGGAGATATTGATTCACTTATGCCACCTGATTGACCTGGTCGGTTCCGTTCAAGCTGGAATATTTTAAGGGAAAATGCCATTTTTTTGCCAGTGAGAAGCCATCATCGGCACCAGTCGCCGGGACAGCTGCCAAAGATCGCCTGAGAGATCACCGTAACTTTTCCGTTGCCATGGGGACATTCAAATGGAAACTGGCTCAAGGCGAGAGTGGCATTTAAAAAGGAAACACCCGGTGGAAATTCCAAGTGGATGAGTCAACCCATAGAACATTCGAGCCGAGTCAACACGGTTTCGAGGGATCGATTCGGGGGAACGACGTCGATATCGCTTCGGTGGATCCAAGCGGCGTCATCCGCCTGAGGAAAGCGTGGGATGCGACAGATGGATATGCGAGGAATGGGAGAAGAGGGGGGGGGGGGGGAAGAGGAGGAGGGGGAGGAGGAGGGGGAGAGGAGAAGGGGGGAAGAGGAGGGGGGAGTCGAGGGTGCGGGGGCAAGTCTTCCGCGAGTCTTCCTTCTTTCCGCCGAAGATCGTTGCTCCCCATGAATATCTCAATGGTTCTCTCTCCTGGATGTCATCAATCGCCTGGAAAATATGAATCAGGGAGGTATGAAAAAAGTAAATGCGAGACTTCATCTTGCATATTGATGGCAGAAGTAGTGGGAGGAGGGTGGGGGGGGGGGGAGGAGAGAGGGGAGGGAGAGGAGGAGAAAATAATGAACGTTTTCTTTAAAAGATTTGTCTTCATATGAATGGTGAAATGCGTAAATGCACGTTGTGAGAATTAGATGCAAAGAAAATTGAATTGCGATTGAATTGCCCTTCGAGCGTCATATTGCCATACCGAGCGCCTTTCCCACCAGTACGAAAATTAAAGGTGGGATTTTCTTCTAATCATAGATAATTGCTATGATCACGCGATTCTACAGTGTGCGTGACGAAGACTCCAGCATGCAACTTTCAAATTCTGATGATTTCAGGAAGATTATTCTGTTTCAACCCCCGCACTGACGCCATCCTTAGCGTGTATCCAGGCGCATTCCAGGCGCGCGAAACCTTAGGAGGTGGGGCGCCTGGGGGATTCGTGGAAGGAAATGGGATCGGATCTCGCGCCTGCGCGTTACCTTTCTCCCACTCTACCTTACCCCCCCAGCTGCCCATTTTGCTGCCATTCATACTTGGAGAGAAGACCATGACTCCATCCCTCTTCCTCGTGAGTTCATTCACTCGTTTTTCAAAAAAATTAAAATTAAAAGTTATTTTTATATCTTTCGGTGTCCCCCAAAGTAGAATCTAAAATCTTGGATTTTAAGAAGTGCTTGGGGCAAGTACTTCACAATTCGCAAATGCGAAAATGGCAAATTCGGGACTTGAGGAACGGTGCAATTTTGAGAGAAGTTCACGAGAATCCAAGACTGACCTTTAACTCAAACTTATCTTGAGTTCGTTTCCCTTGCGCCCTCTGAATAGTTGGGTCCCAGCAACTTCAATTTGGACTATTTGCTCGGTGAACTTAAAAATATTGAAGGTCCTTGCAGCCCCGAGGCGAAACTTTCGCTCTCTCTATGAGTTTTAAAAGAAAAAAAATTCGCGGAGACTCTCGGAATAAAAATTGCGCAATTGAAACTCGGCGAAGGTGGAAAGAACGCATTAGGATGCATGAAATGTTTGAGAATGTTTGATCTCAGTCACAGCTAAGTCACAGCTGACCATGAGACTTCACACTCCATGGATTAGACTGAAACAGAGACCGGAAGGCCTGTTGTACTCTTTGGGTATCATTCAAGAGCTTCGCGGTTTCGATTCAGTCCGCCTTAGTCGCTAAAACAAGTCACGCGACGGAATGAGATCTCTCAGGCCTCCTCAGAGGAGGTGGAGGTGGATGAAGGGGGGAAAGAAGGATAACACTCACGGGGCAGGCAAACGCCCATTCGGTACTCGGTCCTCCTCTTCATGCTCCCTCATTGTTCTTTAAAAATATTTTCCTTCCATGAGTCGGGAAAAGGAAGGTCCAATGTGAGCGAGTAGGAAACTAAAAGTCAGAGGCCCCAAATTTGTAACCTTGAAAAAATGGTGACGTTACCGGGGAGAGGGGGGGAGGCACAAGCGTATGCATTTTTTTCTGAAAAATGTTTTTTGCATGCCTAAATATCCGGTTTTTGTAAAGAAATTTAGAAAATGGGATGCACGGGCATACCGATTGTACTTGAAGAGAAGCCGGCAATTGTCGATGCCATCCCTGACGAAGCAATTATTAAGGTCTTCAGGCCATCGGCATTCATTCCCCGGTGAGAAAGGAGATCGGAATGCCATTCATGATCGCCCATCACCGAGAAACTGCTCGAGAGGATCGCAGTGCATGTTCGGTCATCCGATTCTGTCATCCGGTTCTGTCGGATTCGGAGCAGACCTTTTCCTCATCTCGTTCCGGGGGAAGCCAGTACATGCGATTCATCTCCCCCGGTGACAATAGCTTTAGCAATAATAGACAGATTTGGGCCGATTTCTTCTTCCATAGATATTCTAATCCTCCCGTATTCTTCTCGAGACAGTCTCATCTGGGAACTGCTTGCAACGAGAGATGAACATTCAACATTTCTTCTTGCCTTACCGCTGAACGTTTTTGAACGAAACTTGTTTTAATCCATATTTGGTCCAAAAGCTGCGTAATGCTAAACTTCATCTCACAGCTAAGAGAAATTTCGGTGCAGCAATCCGATTGAATATCTATTAAATTGGCCCTAGCAAAACATTTTTTAAGCAAAAACGTTACATTTCATAATTAATGTGCGAGGCGTACCACGATGCCAAATCTGACTCAGCTCCTCAAAGTTTCCGAGAATTCAAGCAAAACCCGTCCATGCATCCAAAAGAATGAAAATTAAGATAAAGTTACCAGAAGTGTGAAAGTGAGATTTGTATCAATCTTATACTCGAGCTAACACAGACGGTATCCGAGAGTCGCCAAATTATTGCTTCTTTATATCCTGCAATTGCGGGATATAAAGAGGCAATAATTTGGCGACTCCCGGATCCGGGACGAAGAGATGGGATGTGGGACGGGTGATGTCATCGGATGACGTCATTTGGTTTCGTCATTGGAGACTTCACCAGCAGTTGAAACAAACTTGAAAAAGCCTCACGAAACTGTTCTTTCGCGAACGTGATCCCGATGCAAGGATCCGCCGATCGGGAGCGACCCAATTTTTTTTTTTTGTTGCCATGCAAGTCCTAACGAATTGTGTCATCACGCAAGGAGAAACATCTTAATGCATGCCATCGTGATTGTTGCAGTTAAATGCAAGCAAAATGCTCGTTGGATCGAGATCTAAAGTTGTGGGTTTTCTTGGTTTCACCGTGCGCAGCAAAGCAGAAACGTACAGTCAGGTACACATTTTGTACGTTATGAGGTACAAACGTTGTCGTAAAATACGTTCGGTGAAAAGGTACAGAAGGTACACATTTCTTATCTCTATTCACATCGGGCTTAAGGGGGTTCAAAAACCGGTTCTAGACCTCAATTGAATTGCACTGAGAACCCGGACACCTGCGTCAGCAACGTACACATGTGTACGTCTGGACCACACGTGCAGACCCGAGGGACACAATAAGTACCTCTCACATTTGTACCTCTCCTTGTACGTTTCTACTTTGCTGTGTGGCTGTGCACCGCTGGATACAAGATCATACGCTCAGATGAGTCGCGATTTACATGATCGGTCCAAAATCTGCACCAAAATGCCTGTTGAAAACCGATGATTGATGACTTAAATTAATATTGTACATAATTTAATGCGGGGAAATGCGACATGGCGAATCCATAACAAATGCTTGAAGATACTCGGGACGTTTTTGGCTAGCAACCTTGTTGTTGGATCTTGCTCCAAGAACCAAAGCGTTGCCCCAAAGCTCAAATAAGCTGCATGTAAGCTCCGAAGAGCATAGAGGTTCCAACCGAGTCTTTCCGCATTCCTCGAGAACTCGAAGCACGATCTCAGCTCTATTTCTAGCTACGTCGAGTTATCTTCCTTGGACCCCAAGACGAGTGAAGGAGGGGGACAGACCGAGCGCGAGAGCGTTTCTGCAGACTGCCGCGAGCGGTCTTCCGGGCGGACGCGTTTTGTGCCGGACTCCCGGGTGATGACGTCATGCGCTCCCCGCCCCCTTAGAATGCGTGGCCTTATGGCTCGTTAGGAGTTTTCCCCCGGGGGAGGCGTGGGAGGACAAAAGGGGGAAGCAGTGGATGACATCGTGTCGGTGCATTAGTGATGATATTTGGATCCCTTTGCAGGCTTCTGCGCTTCGGGTATCGGCGGCTTTCCCAACTTCTCCCTGCAAGATGTAAGGAACGTCTAACGTCAGTTCCCTTCGACACGGTTTCGCCGATTCAATTCCTTCCGCTTGCTCTTTCGAATTCCGACGGATTCACTGGTGAGTTTTTGAATGAGAATTCTCTGAATTCACTGGACAGATGACGTTAATGACGCGCTTGAGAATGTCATAAAAGTCCCGCACTTCTGCGGCCATTTTCGTTTAAATTAAGTCATTATCTTTTTTTTTCTCATCGTATTTCCTATGTAAAAAAAATTATATAATTAATCATTAATTTTTCCGCACAATTGTCTTTGGCGGCAGAGGATGTTATCTCAAGAAGACCTGGTGACGCTGTTGATGCTGGCCATGGTAGTACAACTGAGTACGGGCACGGGGACGTACCTCGGTCCCGAAGACTACCAAGACCTGTCGTTCCCGTACGGAGCGGTCGCCCCGTCGAAGCGCTTCCCGGACTACGACGCAGACGAGAGCCCCGAGATCTGCGCCTGGATGCGGAAGCCCTGTCTCCCGCGAAGCGCGAGGGGAAGGCACTCCCCGAAGCGAGCCACATGGTTCTCCATGCCCAACGTTCAGCCGCGGTCCGTGCCGCTCACCCCACAGCTCTGCGCCTGGCTCAGACTGCCGTGCTAGAGGCGCCTGCTGTCTGTGCTCCGCCTGTGGCGCCGTCGAGGCCGATAGGGTAACACCGTTCCGAATGCATCGAGTCCTGATTTCTACGTTAGGTATTAACGGAATTTCAAGCATTCCCGTTTGGAAAGTTACTAGAAGAAAGCGTTTTCTCGCATAACTCAGAAAAACGGTTTCATGGTGGTTGCATCGCTTCGTGTATTTTCTCCCCGCTGTATTGCGTTCTCTGCCCGATGGCTGGAACTTGTCAATTTTGAGTTGCATGTGAAGAGTGCGAAAAGTCTCGTCTGACCTCGTTTGACCTCGTTTGACCTCTCGGTCATTCCACAGCGATGTCGCATTCAATGTCTTTTCCTTCTCGCTTCTATCAAGGAGAGACGAAATAAATATTCGCATTGAGAATAATTTCGCTTTCATTGCAAAAGTACAAAGACATCACCCACGCAAAGAGCCGCCGCGTCCCGAAGGAGAAGTAAAAAGTAATTTCATTTTCCAAGACCCTATATGCTTTGATGAGAGCCCCAGGATTTCTCATGTTTGCTTCTTATCCTATTTCATCCTAAGTTCATTCCTGGCTCGCCTACGTTGTTTCATTCCGAGTCATCTAAATGCAATTATATTGGTAAATTTCCAATTTCTTTTCATTTCCCTGAGGAAATGAGAGCGGCGAAAACCTGGAATGCTCAGCTGCATTGTAAGTGTGCGTCGACTTGGAACATCTCCCGTCAAATATGACAGTGGAATTAAGTCATTTTTCACCGCAGAATTGCTGTGTCAGTCACACATACGAGGTCTGGCAATAAAGTTCCAGGACTGATTTTTTTGTGAGTCTGTCAATATCACAAAAATTATTTTCATTCCATGGACCGATAGATTAGACTGTTGGGCAGTGTTGTGTCAGCCC